GCCCTTTGGAAGTTTGCAAGAAGAACCTGGGTGCAACAGCAACCTTCCCATCAGCACCTGGTATTCAGAGGCATATTGCCTCTGACAGCGGAGACAGAACATAACCATTGTAGATGGCAGCCATTGATAGCCTTATCCTCCATAAATTAATCTAATCTCCTTTACAAGCCACCCAAGTAGGTGGCCATGACAGCATCTTGAGGGAATATATTCTATAGTTTAAGTTAGCCCTAGTTCAATAAGAACTTTCATTTGTCTGTCACTAATCTTCCAGTGCTCATCTTCACTGAATGACCCCCAGTTCTAAAATTATGAGAGGCAGAGAAAGAAAAACTTTTTTGCTGTCTACTTTCTCCACATCTTGCATATTGTTATGTATTTCTATCATGTTGCCTCTTACACACCAATTTTACTGAACCCAAAAGCTCCAAATGATGTAGCCTTTCCTTTTTTAAAAATAAATAAATAATGTTTATTACTTTTATAGATTACAAAAAGAGATAAAAGAAGAGAAAGGAAAAAAAAACAGAAAAAAAGACAAAGAAGGAAAGCAAAAAGAAAAAAACAATACAATACAATATATAAACAATGTAAAACATAACCTAAACTCAGAACTAAACACATTAAACAAAACTAAACAAACGCCACTCCCTAACCTTAACCCTAAATGAAACAAAGCAAAAACAATTTAAAAACATACATCATCTCTTTTCCATACTCTATCTTTCATTCCCTTGTTTCCTCGACCTCCTCTCACCTCCCTTTTTGTATTCCACTTCTTTCAATTGTTTCAGCAAATCCTTTCCATCTTTCTCCATTTTCTATCATATTGTAAATAACGTACAGTGGTGCCCCGCAAGACGAATGCCTCGCAAGACGGAAAACCTGCTAGACGAAAGGGTTTTCCGTTTTTGAGTTGCTTCGCAGGACGAATTTCCCTATGGGCTTGCTTTGCAAGACGAAAATGTCTTGCGAGTCTTGAGATTTTTTTTTCACTCCCCCCCCCTTTATCTAAGCCGCTAAGCCTTTAATAGCCTTTTAGCAGCTAATCCGCTAAGCTGATAAGCCTTTAATAGCCGCTAAACCGCTAATAGCGCTAATCCGTTAAGCCGCTAATAGGGTTGCTTCGCAAGACGAAAAAACCGCTAGACGAAGACACTCGCGGAACGGATTAATTTCGTCTTGCGAGGCACCACTGTATTTTTAAACCTTATTTTCCATTAAAACTAAAATACTTATATATACTTAACTCCTTATAACATTTCTGCAAGGCCCATAAAAAAATCATTCCACCATTTTTCTATCACTCATTAGTTTTACCATAAGTCTATATATAAACTTTAAATTTTCCAATCTTCTTCCACCATCTCCTCTCCCTGGTTTCGGATTCTGCCAGTCCTTTCCGTCAACTCCATAAAGTCCATCAACCTGGTGATCTTATGTCCGAGGCTCTTAACTCTTTTCCAAGTCCCTTCTGCAGGTCTTCTTCATTTTCTTTAATGCTAAAGAGCAAATCTCGGGGAAACTCCAACCTGTCAATCCTTTTCTTTCTTCTGAACAGATCAGCCAAATTTCCATAGTTAAAGCTACAGTCCATAAAGTATTTCAGGGCATATTTCAAGATTCCTCCAAGTCCAAAGGCCCCCAAAACTTCAATCTCCTCCAGGCCCGAGTCCATGTCCCAAAAGTCAGTTAATCCCTGCATAGAGGGATCTTTCCAACTTTCCTTCTTTCATCCAAGCCGGGGTCCATTCCTCAGAATCTGACTTTTCCTAGATTTAATCATAAAAGGCCTCAATTTATAGTCCTCAATTTGCTTCTGTAAAGCCACGGATCTCACTTGTATTACTTTATGTTCAACTTTATTTTCAACAACAGCAGCATTCTCCTTCTCCTTCTCCTCCACCATTTGTCCTGCCAAAATGGATTCCTGTACCAAGTCCTGAATTATTTCTGTGTTGATGTTCGCTTTTTGACTCAAATTAGTCACTTTCTGTTCCAAATTATCAACTTTAAAAGTCATGTCATCCATTATGAAAGATAAGCTGTCCCAGCGAACAGCTTATCTTACATAAAACAGTCACAATGGCCTCTCCTGTCAACATTTTTAAATGGTCCAAGGTCGCTCTCTGGTTCTCAGAATCCTTATCTGCAGCTGGAAATCCCCCAGTTACACTCCTGTAACAGTTTCAAAAGCTCCTCTAGAGGGAAACAGTCTCCACTTGTATCAGTTCTTTCAGGCACAACTCAAGCATTAAAGATAAAATTTCAGTTACTTTTCCTCTTTTTTAAACGCAGATGAGGACAATGGAAACAGTATCTTACTCTTATTTAGCTAGCTGTCGAATCCATTCTGTCAAATGCACTCTCTCCAAACGTCATCTGGCAGCCCGTTCCTAGGTTCAGAGCAGTGGTAATTTGATTTTTCACTCTCTCCTGCAGGCCCACTAGATCCAAAATTTCCCCCTCTTCTCCTGCCTCCAAGGGGGGGTATATTTTAAACCGATGGAAATTTAATCCTTTGCCAAAAGCTTTCAAGGACTTTAACTTGTAATGTCTTTGCTTCAGTCTATTTACAAAAACGGAAGGTGGACTTCCTGTTTATGACCTCCCGCTTCAGTGCCAAATTAAAGTATTTAAAAATCCAATTTTCCGATTTACTCACGAGTAGTTGTTTATAATCCAATTGTCCACAGGAAAAAGTCAGCGCTCTCCGGCAACAGCAATGCGGCGTCACTCCATGAAAAAAGCAGTCGATTCAAAGCACTGCACCACTCACCCCACGTCGCTCCGGATCCCCAAAACAGGGTTTCCCCGCGAGTAGGGGAGGCGCAAAAGGTGCCAGCTGAATCCCAGGTTCACAAGCTTCTCCCGCTTGTGATTTCAATGGGTCTCCACCTTCGCCATGGCGGTCAGACCCTGTTTTTCACGGAGCAAGTTCCTCCCGAACAGAGGAGCTCCGACATTGCCGGAGGCGCCAACCCGGAAGTAGCCTTTCCTTTCCACGTAGTGGAGTTGCTCCATTTGCTTGATCATATTTGGTTGTTCTTTGTCGGATTCTTTTCAGCTCTGGTCATGTAATCAGGGTTTTTTGGGCACTATGGTGAAATTGTATTGCATATATGTTTGAAGTATATTGATTATTTCTAAATTTGCATATATATATATATATATATATATATAAGCATATTCAAATGTGATACAGATAATAATAATAATAATAATAATAATAATAATAATAATAATTTGTTATTTGTACCCTGCCCATCTGGCTGGGTTTCCCCAGCCACTCTGGGCGGCTTCCATAGAAACAAAAAATACAGTAAAATATCACAGATTAAAAGCTTCCCTGAACAGATCTGTATCTTCTTCAGTATTTTTACTATTGTTATTGCTATTCTAAAGGCCACCCTACTTGCAAAGTTGGAAGCAATCCTATGATCCCATTAATGTTGAAAGACATGCAGTTGAACTTCAGAAGTTAGAAGATAAAAATATTCCTTCTACTACTGAGGTCAAATCAATTTGAAGCAATTTGCTCCTTCAAATAAGACAAGTCATTATTATTATTTTAAAAGATAGAATGAAATCTTCATTGCAGCAGGCTTCCTCATGTAGAACAGATTAAAATATGCATACATAATATCTAAATATGGAGTCAATTAACACAATGATTTTACCTCATAAATAATGCTAACCTGCCAGTGTCCTCTGGGACGACTTTAAAAATGAAATGTTTCTTTTTATGTAGATCTTAGCTCAGCTAAACAAGAATCAATAAACAGTAAATACAAAGTCATATCTGTAGCCAAATGAACCATGTCCAAGCAAAATAGCAGATTAATAAATTTTAACACCAAGCAGGTTTTTACAAGAAAATATGAGTTCAGGGAACCATAGCTTGGTAACAGAAGTAAATCGGAAGTGTAACTGTGTAATAAGAAGAAGAAATTTAGGAAGCATGTTAAAGACATAGCTGAAACAACAAAAAGTCTCGTGGCACCGTGAAAGTCTAAGGATTGTGTCAAGGTAAGCTTTACATGGGTGGTGCTGTGGTCTAAACCACAGAGCCTTGCTGATCAGAAGGTCAGTGGTTCGAATCCCCATGATGGGGTGAGCTCCTGTTGCTCGGTCCCTTCTCCTGCCAACCTAGCAGTTCAAAAGCAGGTCAAAGTGCAAGTAGATAATAGGTACCGCTCCAGTGGGAAGGTAAACGGTGTTTCTGTGCGCTGCTCTGATTTGCCAGAAGCGGCTTAGTCCTACTGGCCACATGACCCAGAAGCTGTACGCCGGCTCCCTCACGCATTAAAGCGAGATGACTGCCACAACCCCAGAGTCGGCCATGACTGGATCTAACGGTCAGGGGTCCCTTTATCTTTAAGCTTTACTTACAACAGACCCATTGAAAGGAATGGACTTAAATAATCACATCTATTTATTTCAATGAATCCAACCACAATATTTTTATTTTGAAATCAGTATTTCATGAGCCAAAAATGCATGAGGTGTCATCTTGAGTTGACTGAGACAGACATTCCTGAGTACAAATGGAATAAGGGAGGGGGAATTATTATAGAGTGTCAGGGGTGAGTTGTTGGTAGCTTTCTGAAGACCTACCCCCACTATACTTTCTACAATCATAGAATTGTAGAGTGGGAAGGGACCTTGAGGGTCATATAGTTTAACCACCTGCAATGCAGGAATCTGAACTCAGCTTTTTTGCTGGTGGTGGTGCATCATACTGTTGACTCAAGTTCAGTTTCTTGTCAACTAAGACCCTAGATCACATGTACTACTGGCAAGCCAGGAGTCCCCCATCTTACATCTGTGCAGCTGGTTATTCCTGCCTAAGTGTAGAGCGTTATGTTTGTCCCTGTTGAAATTCATTTTGTTAGTTTGGGTCCAGTTCCCAAGTCAGTCCAAAGCCCTATCTAGCTTAGTGTTCTTTACATCGACGGACAGCAGCTCCCCAGGATTCTAGACAAGGGACATTCTGATTTCTGATATGCCAGGGATTGAACCTGGGACCTTCTGCAAGCAAAGCAGATGATTTATCACCAAACTATGGTCCTTCTCAAAACTGCAGCTGGTTTCAAATCATTGGTCCATCTACCCTGAGCACTGAGCAGCAGACATCCTACCAGTGAGCTATAATTCTTTCGTCCTCATTTTTCCAAGCTCAGGTTTCTGTTTTAAGATTTGTCCAACAGGCATTGTAGATATTAAAGTTTATTCATATAGCCCATGCAAAACCTTCACGGGGCTTCATATACAGTTGATGTCTTTTTGCCCGTCAGCTAGATCAAGCAATGATCCATTTTGATTTCAAAGTGCAGTTTTGTTACAGATCTGTGGGCAATGCATTTTGAGAAAATGAATTTATTCTCATATTATTACTTTGTTTTAAAAAGTCTATAATTACCATGTGGATATAAAACAGTCTTGTGAAGACACAGAATTATATCCAAAAAGCCACATAGCAATGGTCATAGTGTGGAATCCCCCTCCCCCACACACTAAAAGCTAGCCTTGCACTGCAAAACATCAGAAAAGGGCTGTCGGAGTGCATCATTGATGGAATTTAATTCTGAATGATATTGAAAGGGCAGAGCCAATGCGTAGCTCATTTTTGGGAAAGATAACATATGTGAACTTGTTATTTCCTCCTTTTAACATATAATGACCTTGTCTATTGACTTAATGAGGAAATTATACATGCTGCACTCTGACTTAACAAACCCCTCAGAATTAAAGAGAAAAACCAAAAAAGAAAGGAAGACCCAGGAATGCTGTATTCCTAAGACAGCCATCTGGAGTAGCTGAAATAATGCTTCAGTATGACATTTAGATGCCTACTTCTATTGGATACACATAACTGATGACCCATCAAGTCAACCACAGCAATCCAGCTGCACATGGCAGGCAACCAGGAGCTTGTTGTTTTTGCTTTCCTGTGACTGAAGAAAACAGGGGAGCTTGTGTCAAAACCAGAAGCAGCTCATTTGGTGAGATGGAGCGTCAGTTCTAGCTTTCCAGCAGTGGGGTTAATGATGCTTACTGAAGAACCAGCCCACCCATGAGGTGAGATGAAGTGACCATCTCAAGTGGCAGGATCCACAGGGCTGGCAGATTCGGCCCCTGCCATGTGCCGACAGCTGCTGCACCTACGGCAGCAACAGTCACTTCAGCTTCTCTTCCAGATGTCACCCCTTTCCAATAAGTTTCTGCCCACTCCCGGCATCACCCCTAGAGGGGGTAGGGGTGGTGATATTATCCCTCCAAAATAAATTCGTTCTGTGAATAATCACCTTTCTAGAATCCTCTCAGATTGAACACCATGATTTTCCCTGGCTGCTGCAGCAGCAGCAACATTTTTGTCTTGACTGTTCCTTTCTTTGCTCCCTCCGAGATTACATGTGTAACCAGTCCCTACTGGTTACTACTCACTTCATAAACAGATTGACATTGTGATGCTATGCAGCCAATTTGATATGACTGTGCGTTGGTATCACTGAGGCAAAGGAGGACAGTTGAGGCTGAGGGCAACATTATATTAGTTCCGTCGATTATTCCACCCAAACAGGGATCATAAAGTGAATGGGGAGTGTCACAATGTTACATACTAAAGAATAGTCAATCAGAACTGGATATGTAGTGATGTCACTGAGAAGAAGAAACTGAAACTAACAAGAGAAATAGGCAACTCTCCTCCCCCCAAGGGGTAATGGGGGGGGGGACAACAACTCTGAGTAATTTCAGCTCTATTTTAGGTTTGATAAGACTGGAAAAAATTCTCAGGAGAGTTTCACATACTCCTAGTCGTAAAAAGACAAACTGTTTAAAAGCCATTGAACAGCTATTGAAAAGCTCTTTGGGAAGCCTGAAGCCCACTGCTTATAAAGTCAGATCTTACTATCTCCAAAAAATGTCTAGAGAGCTCCCTGTGTTTTGAAGTGGGAGGTCTTTTATTTTATTTTTAAGGATGTTGTATACTCTTGTCATTTTTCAGAACTCCCTATAAGTGTAATGTAATAGTGCCAAAGACACATCTCACTGGGGGGAATAGTGAATTTAGGGAATTGCTGTTTTATCAGCCATTGCCTTGCAGGAAACAAGGTAGATGAAAGGACCACACCATGTTGTCTCATAAACATGTTTCAGGAGAGAGAAGATCAAACACTTCAGTACAGCATTTATCTTTCTGTAAGTGAACACTGAGAGAAGCAGACAGATATTTGGTAAGCTTCACTTGTTTTGGCTACCAAACATTTTCTTGGATGCTCAGGGCTAGTCCTACACAGTTTGCTGCCAGAGACCAAGGACAAGATGTTCTCCCATTCATTATACAATAGCCAACCAAACTGACAGGTGAATACTGCAGGAAGGTGAATTCCAGTGCATCTGAGAGGATCAGGTGAGATTAGGAGGTGTGGGGAAGGCCACATGGCACCACTGCACAGTACCTCAACCTCTGCCCCCTGAGGCAGCCATGATACTCTGACTAAAGATGGGGTCCTATAGTTGCCTTATGCCAGGATTGTGGAACTTTTTTTCCTGGCAGGCCGGATTGGTCTCTTCCCCTGCTGGCAAAATCTGGCTCATGAGGGGTAGGGTAAAATAAGGATTGGAGCCACTAGCAAGATCAGACTTTTCACTCCTTTCCTACATGCCAGCATTCATTCTTTTGAACACATAAAGAGGGCTAGAGGTATATAAATAACTATGAGCTGAATGAAGGCTGAAGGTACCATGGGAGGGGGCAAATAAATATAGGAAGCCACCTTATACTGAGTCAGACTATTTGTCAATCTGGCTCAGTATTGTCTATGCAGACTGGCAGTGTCTATAAAGAATTTCAGCTTGACCTGGTAACTACTGCTCCCACCCTTGAGTGGGGACAGTTTTGCCACACCCCAGCTACCTTGGAAAGAAGACTCAAAATGGTTTTGCCTGGGAAGGAATTGGGGACAGGTCAGGTGGGCCGTGAAGCCAATCAGGATAGGGAAGAAGCCAGGATTTATAAACCGACTCTGCCTCAAACACTCCACTGATCTCTTTGCCTGATTGGCTCTAATTGAGGTTGAATCCTGACAAGACAGAAGTACTGTTTTTGAGGGACAGGAGGCGGGCAGGTGTGGAGGACTCCATAGTCCTGAATGGGGTAACTGTGCCCCTGAAGGACCAGGTGCGCAGCCTGGGAGTCATTTTGGACTCACAGCTGTTCATGGAGGCGCAGGTCAATTCTGTGTCCAGGGCAGCTGTTTACCAGCTCCATCTGGTACGCAGGCTGAGACCCCACCTGCCCGCGGACTGTCTTGCCAGAGTGGTGCATGCTCTAGTTATCTCTCGCTTGGATTACTGCAATGCACTCTATGTGGGGCTACCTTTGAAGGTGACCCAGAAACTACAACTAATCCAGAATGCGGCAGCTAGACTGGTGACTGGGAGCGGCTGCCGAGACCACATAACATCAGTCATGAAAGATCTACATTGGCTTCCAGTACATTTCTGAACACAATTGAAAGTGTTGGTGCTGACCTTTAAAGCCCTAAACGGCCTCGGTCCAGTATACCTGAAGGAGCGTCTCCACCCCCATCGTTCTGCCCGGACACTAAGGTCCATCGCCGAGGACCTTCTGGTGGTTCCCTCACTGTGAAAAGCCAAGTTACAGGGAACCAGGCAGAGGGCCTTCTCGGTAGTGGCACTCACCCTGTGGAACGCCCTCCCACCAGGGAGAGAAGAACAACTACCAGACTTTTAGAAGACATCTGAAGGCAGCCCTGTTTAGGGAAGCTTTTAATGTTTAACAGACCACTGTATTTTAATACTTTGTTGGAAGCTGCCCAGGGTGGCTGGGGAGATCCAGCCAGATGGGTGGAGTATAAATATATTATTATTATTATTTGCAGTGCCCTCTCTCTTTCTTTTCCTATGCTGTATGGGATTTGCTAGTTGCCTGCTTGGAAGCTGAGCGGAATTTATTGTGGGTGACCCTGGTTGGCCTTAGGACTCCTCTTCTTCACCTACTCTATATTGCTGGGAGTCCTGTTATTGGAATGACATTTTTTATTGATTTAATTGGCTTTCCATTAGGGCAGGAAAGACAAGTTATGATCTGGTGAAGTAAATATCTGAGTCATTATTGGGGTAAGGAATATACACATGGGGGTGAACACCAAACCAGTGTGCTTGTCAGGTTCACGTATCCAAGGTTCTTGTAGCAAGAAGGAACAATTCCTTCCAAAACTTTTCTTCAGGGCCACATGTGGAACTTGTAAATGTGCCCAAGTGTGGGGAGAAACCAGATTTCTTCCACCTTGGGGAACTTCTCTACCTGGACTCTATTTTGATTTGGCTAATTATGTCTATTTTGTTGTCTGTAGATCCTCTGTGTTGTTATATTTGAGGTATATTGTTATATACCTTTCTCACTACAGTAATGGTTTCTTGAATATGCTGGCAAGGCACAGATGCAACTCATGGCCTTCTGCATGCAAAGCCAATGCTCTACCACTGAGCTATAGTCCTTCCTTCCCCAGCATCTGATAAGAGTAACATATCTGCAGCCTTGTAAGAGTACTTGCTATTTGTCCCCATTCATGCTCTACATGCATGCTTGTAAAGAAATCAAGCATTACAAATTGTTACGAGTCTCCTGCTCTCTTTCTCATCCAAAGGAAACCAGATCCAGATAGGGCTATCCTAGGAACTTCTCGCCACCTGGCAATCTCAGGAGTTTGCAACAACAGCGTTTTCTCTGCACTCAGTGGTGATGTGATGGGAGACAGGATCAAATATAACAGATACCATAAAGTCAGTGATGTAAGGTTCAGTAAGTCACATTGGACATGTTCATTTCAAGGCTAAGACACAAGGGAAATTATTTGACAGCCCATTCCTGGAGCAGGAGGAAGGTGTTCAATAGTGTTCCAAAGCCGACCAGAGTACACCCTTTGGGCTGGTTTAAAGAAGCTTGTAAAATCACAAACCTGTTGAACAGACTACAAGAGAGAAAACACATAACCTGCTAATATTTATTGAGGGAAAGGAGAAAGAGATCATAATGCTTTTATCATG